TATGATAGCAGTGCGGTCTGCCACTACATGCGTTGTCGTGTAGCTACTCCATATTATCATCCACTGTGAGTCGTAAGAGGCGACAGAGGGAAAGTGAAACGAAGGATGAGCAGCATCTTCCTCATAACAGACTGAGATGATAAAAAACTGCGCTCGCCAACTCGTCTGACCATCATGTCAGCTCTGGCAAACATCCCCATCTTATTATAGACAATGTTTAGGGGAAGCCCATTTTCAGCAGCAGACTTGATAAGCTGGCGTGATGAATAACTGAATGTTATATGCGCATAAATAGGAAAATCAAATTCTACTGTCAGATTTAATAGAATTTTACTCAAAAGAGATAATGTCTATTACAAGTTAAATAGAGTAGAAAGATTTGGAAAAAATAGTACATTTAAAAGTCGCATCGAGATCTTAAATTAGATATAGGTACATTGTAATATACAACAAAAAAAAAACATACATTACAATATTACATATTATTAAGATAAATTTCTTTAAAGTAAGTAGATACTCTAAAATGTAAAATTTACATCAATAGACATTTAAAATATGCAATTAATACTTTTTGTAGATATTAAATAACCATTATGCATTTTAATAAATACAGTACACGTAGTGCGACACCTTTAGGCAATATTCTTACTATAGTAAATTAAAAATATTAATAAATTTATTTAAAAAGAATGTAGTCCACCGTGTTGTAGCACATAGACATTATAATGTTCAGACCGAACTTCGGTCACAGAGGCCAGTCTCAACGAAGATTAACCATCTGCGCAAGACAGTATTATAGTAAACGATGTGCAAGCACAGTTCCATTTCGTGTTCCCTCACCCCGAAAACCAGAGAGATTAGAAATTACTTTACTTGCATTCCGAGGGGATGAAACAGCGTCAACTTGCTGACTCTGGCCTGCTACTACGAATGTCTTGATAGAAATCCCCAATAACTGACTATGGCGCAATCCGGGATTCGAAATCGGGACCTCTTAATGAGCAATCGTGTTTACGGCCCCTAAACAGATGAGGCAGTCAAACATCGACATATAACCTCGATTAATATACAGAACAGATAAGTTAATAGGTCCAAAGCCATAGTTACCATACGAATGGAAGTGTTATTATTGGATCATTAGTTATTTTAAGCTTGTGTTCTCTAACGAAGCAAAACTACTGGCTAGAAGCAACAAATATAATTTTAACCACATAATAATTTAACTTTTAATAGTGTAGAAAAAGTACACAAAACTGGAATTATAAATTTAGCTACATAAATAAATATGGATGGGATGATGAGAAGTTATAGTATTATGATAGATTTTCTTGATACAGATATATATATGTCGTACAAGGTTAAAACATCTGCCTATTTACATAGCCGTAATAACACATACAAGAAAACAAGGAAATGGTAGATTTAAAATAAATATTAAGATACGAAAGGAGAATGGAATTTTTTGTCTAGAATTTAACTAATTGGTTTGTACTTTAAAAAATAGGTTACATTTTTCTAAAGTAAAAACTAGGTCTTAATAAATTATGCAATAAGTTAAAAAATCGATTGTATTAAGAGGATACTTTGAAAATGAATCGTAGTTTTGGGGGCGTGGCTTATTCCTTTGTCGGTGAAGCTCATGGACGACTGAGGGAATGTCGAAATGAATGTGATCCAATGACTTCATAGTACGCAAATTATGAGATAGCTATATATATATATATATATATATTTTTTTTTTTTTTTATATATATATATATATATAATTTTTTTTTATATATTTTTATAAACACAACAAATATATATAAAAAACAACAAAACTGAATAAGCGCCAAACAACATTTTTTTTTAACTAAACTTAGTTATGGATTAAAAAAAATGGTTTGTGAGAACTTAGATATCGTTATTTACTATGTCTTAAAAATAATTCCATGTAACTAATTAGAGCCTACTTTTCAATTTTTTTCTATCGAGATTATTACATGATATCGTGTTTTCCTTTTATGCAATCCAAGGTCATATAGTAAAAAATCATATACCAAAATTTTGGTCTGTAATCTATAAAACTTAAAAAAATATGTTAAATAGAAAAACCACCAAATTTTCGAGGTATCACATTAATACAATCGATTTTATATTTTTTCAGATACAAAGAAAATGAAAAAACTTGCAAGGTTTCATTAAAATTTTATTATTTACTTGAATGATATATTGATTTGAAAATAAAATACATTATTTGTATAAAGAAAAAAGAATAAACATAATACAAAATAATAACAACAAAATACAAAATATCAAGATATCTCAGAGCGATATCCCTAATACTTCACTTTGTTGTTGTTTTAACTTTCGTTTATCGTTTTACCATTTCGTTTCCTTAAAAACCACAGCGTTTATTTAGCGATTTTATACTGATCCTGCTTTTATATCTTTAAGTAATTATAGTGAAAAATAGGCTGTTACAATGCAATTGCAGTGAAAAAATCACCTGTTACAGTATAGGTAATACATAACTTCACTTTTATTTATTCTACAATAACTCAGCTCCTAGAATGACAAATCTTGCCAGATTTTCAGCTATGAATTGTTTATATATATACATTTTCAAATGGTCCTACTTTCATCGTGTTAGCATCTGGGCCCAAGAATGTGTGGAGACATCTCCTTCACCTTTTATTCCATATTTAACAATACATCACTTCTTTGGTAATAAAGAAATAAATATAATTCTTAATCCCTAAATAAATATAAAACTTTTAATTAAATAAAATTTTAATAAGATTACAAATATACTTAATTTCCTCAATGTGTTTGTCTAACACGATTAAGTAATGCTTATCACTTATTCATGACAAGGGTATTTATTTATCACATAAAATATTTACATACATATTAAAAGTCTTAAGATTCTTATCATATAAGTAGCTTAATAAATTACTAATTTATCATTATTTAAAAGTTAATTTCACATGATTTAGGCTTTTTAATAAAACATGTTTTCAATGACCGTTAATAAAATTTCAATTAATAGCAACTACTTAAAACTGCTGGTTACAAATTCGACAACGTCACTCACCGAGTGATGGCGACCTAAAAGGATACACAGCTGTTTTCGCATTCCACGGAAAACCCATTTTGACATCTGTCAGAAACATTCAGATCGGTTCGACGCTCGGCACGAGTATTGAGAGCTGGAAATTTTGAAAACGCTAGTTTGCGCAATCATTTTAACCGGTCACACACGACAGTTTAATTCGAACTCGTGTGGAGTTCTAACCAATTAATAACTTCAATGGGACAGTGTACTTAATGTTACCCTACACCTAACGCACTCAAAAACGTTTACTGCCTAAGCGAAGATCAGAGAGTGTTCATAATCCGAACCGTTTAATATTAAATTTAGTTTTATTCACTGACCCGTTTACTTTTAATTTGTGCGTTTACTATACGTCGAAGGATCGCCAATCTGTTTGCCAAGCGTCACGATTTCGAAAAATCTTTCTAACTCGAAAAAGACGTTTTCAGCAAAGGATCATAAGAAGCGTATACCTACTAACAATGACAAACAGCAGACAAATATATTTGAATATCATAGATTATAAATGCTATCGGAAGGTAGAATCTATTCTATCAAGCCAACTAGTGTTTTAATTTATTTAAATTCATAAAGTGGTCTATACCAAAATGGATGGTACAACAACTATATCATCTACAATTATAACTACATTACAAATATTTAAACACATTTTAATTTAATTATTGAAATTTAATTCAATGGCTAAAGTAAAGTTACAGCCTCTAATCAACCTACAATTGGACACAAGGCTTCACTCACTTCTGAGAACATTATGGTTCAATTACTCTCCGCTGTGCGCACTTCACGCGGCCTCAAAATATTTTATTCTCCAGACATGCATGTTTCCCCATGGGCTATCTTTCACCGGCAAACATGTGGTAAATTAGCACCTAAAATTTTAATTAACAATTTTCGGTGATTTTCGGAAATCGAACCCGGGTTGGATTCGATTCCCGAATCGATATTTGGCTCGCGAACTGTGAAATTTGAGGTTAGCAACTGACCGCAGTTCTCCTGAGATACTAAAAAACAAATAAGATATTTATTCAAAATAAATACTAACTCATACATTTATTTACGACTTTTACAAAACTATAAAATATTGACAATTAAAACAAAGTTAAAATGTAAATTTAATATTGTAATTTTATGCTTGACCCTATTTACATAGTTGAGCGAACGATAAAAATCTGTGCCTATAGTATCACTACTATTCTGTTTTGTCGAATTATATCGTTGCATTATTTAGCGAAATTATTAAAAAAATACATATTATATATGATATATTATGGAAGCAGTAACTATGATACATACTACTTTATTAAATTATACCAGGGATTAAAAAAACAGTTTTAAATTTCATAAAGATTCTTCATTTAGATTTGAATAAAGGTTCAGTTTTCAATACGGCAGCCATTTTATCTTTTTCGGTCCATTAAAGTCACAGAATCGGTTATATTATAAAATAACGTTTTTCAATTTATATAAATTTTTTTTAAGTTTTGTAAAATCAATGGGGGAAGCCTTAAAAGTGTTATAATTTAGCTTCATTATTATGTCAAGACCAGAACATTTTACAGAGAAAATCATTTTGTGACTATTTTGTCTATAAAGTGGCGAACAATTTAAAAGTTATTCGGTTGTATACAGTAATATAGCAATTCCTTAGCGGTATATTTGACATTTTTTCAATCCCTGATTTATTCTCAATATGTACGTTATATTATAAATTATAAAACTATTTTATATTAGTCTTATTTAAGAAATTATAATATATTATTTAAAATTTGACAGTAATCTATAATAAATTTGAGTACCTACTTAAATAACAAATATTTCAAGACAGAACATCGCACAAGGTTAGGCAAACATTTCAATCAAAATTTTATTTTAAATCAATGGCACAATTAAGATAAATATTTATTTACGACTGTGGTCTATTCGGTGGATGTTCTCGCATCTCTAGCACGTGTTCTACGGGCTGCGGCCGACCATCTGCACCCACCCTAGCTGGTTTTACAACTCCTTTAGACACCATTTTGTCGAATAAGTTCACTAGCTTCATCGCCTCATATTCTTTCTGTAAAAAAAACCACGCACATTTTAATTCCGAATGCCAAAATATTCCATTATTTATTTTCAATTATTATTAAAAGATTCTTATTGGTGATTGCTATATATATTATGTACATGGAAAGCACCTTAATGCGCCGAAAACATTGCGATTATGTAATTTTTTTATAAATCTCAGTAATGGGAAATCGTCGTTTTGACTGATACAGGGGAGGTTCAATGTATTTTCGGTATTAGTATTAGTGTGATTTGCTAATAATGTGAGTAATTAAAAAAATCATTAGCTAACGGCACCACCTGAGCTCTGACCACATGGACAGTTTCCACAAGCTTATCATCCATATCGTCCACTGCATTGCAGTCTTCTAGGCACTGAAAACGGTTTTGTAACTGAAGCTGATAGGTTTCGGGACTTTGGATTAGACCACGAGGGGGACGGAACGTTGACTTCATTAGACGAGACCTCTCCAACTTAACGTTTAGGTTCAGTGTGCCTCTAACCATTCGGTGATCGCTGCCAGTTATCACCCTTGCGATCACTGACACATCACTGAACAGTTGGCGTCTGGTCATCATAATGAACTCAATGTTATTTTTTGTCAAATCGTCGGGGTTTCACCAGGTCCATTTTCTGTGTTATCTCAAATTTTCCAACCTTCATCTCACCGTTCTATCTTATGCCAATTTTTGCGTTGAAGTCTCCCATTAACACCGTAGAGTGTATGTTGGAGGAATGCATGGCTCTAGATATATCCTCATACACTTCCTCATCTCATCTCCTCATCGGAATGTGGCGAGGTTGGTGCGTAAATCTGTATGATCTTCAGCGAATACCCTTTGGTGATTCTGAATATAAAGTACGCAACCCTTGTCGCACACTTTCAATCGTTACAACATCGTTAATGAGACTTGTGGACGATAAATCCGACACCTCCTTTGGACAGACGGTCGCCCTCCCGGTGATAGAACAAGTTGCCGGATTCTAGGATCACCGTGTCCTACACTCTCTTCGGACCCTGTATAATCCTACAATATTCCAGCGCAACTTGTTTATATCTTCTTTCAGCTCCAGGATCTTCTTGTCAGTCTTCAGGGTACGTGCGTTGTATGTTGCCAGGTCAAATTGTGTTATGTGACAACCGAACCTCTACCGGTGATTCTTAGCACCTCCTCATTATCATCATTACAGCCCTTCACAAGTCCACTGCTGAACATAGGCCTCCCCCAAGTAATGCCACAAAGCACGGTCCTGAGCCATCTGCATCCATCGACTTCCTGCATGTCTTACCAGGTCGTCACTCCATCTAGTGGTGGGTCGCCTTACACTACGCCTACCGGTACGAGGCTGCCACTCGAGAACTTTTCTTCCCCATCGGTTATCGGTTTTTCGAGTTATATGGCCGGCCCATTGCCACTTGAGCTTACTAATCCGTTGGGCTATGTCGGTCACTCTGGTTTTACTGCGGATATCCTCATTTCTGAGTCTATCACGCAGAGAAACTCCGAGCATAGCCCTCTCCATAGCTCGCTGAGCGACCTTGAACGTCCTCATACGGCATGTTCGACCACGTCTCAGATCCGTAAGTCGCCTGCCTGTTTCCCTCTGTCGTCTTTTACGACACCCACGGGAAGATATAGGGTAGTGTATATTCTTAACCGCCACTACACGGCAAGAGAATAGAAAAACTTTTTTCATGAATAAGTAAATGTATTGATGTCATAGGATACAATTGGAAACACATGGGATAAATTTAAAAATAAAGAATATTTTATAAATTCATTTTTTGTCTAACATACCCATACCGAGATTACATTGAACGCCCCTCGTAGATGATGATAGCAAAATAATAGAAAAAAAAAAACTTATAATTTAACCACAGAACACTATAATTACCGTTACCATTACAGCTGATTGATATAACAGGAGTTGTCAGCAATATACACAATTTATTTCGCAATACGCAAAAATTTTATAGGCTATCTATTAAAGTCTACTGCTGAACATAAACCTAGATCATAGATTGCAACATAGGGGGGATTTTCCATAGTTGCCACGCTTGCCAAGCGGGTTGGCAACCGCAGTTTTTTTTAATTTTAGTCGTTATTAGGAAGATGGTGCTGCCTATCTCCCGATTTATTTCCCTCCTGTCGCCTTTTACGAGACCCACGAGATGATATGATGTAGTGGATATTCTTACACCGCCACTACATGGCTATAAAATTATTTTATACAAATATACTTTGCAGTTATTTTAATAGTTTTTGTCACCATTGTGACAAACTAATAAAATTCTTCTTCATCATCAGAAATCTATATATGGGCTTCTTCTGCTGCAGGAAAGATTGAAAGATTATTATACCGCCATTTACTCTCTGTGGGAACCATCATTTTGGCGTTTCCCATAGTTAATAGAATCAGGCGTTACTTTGCGGAAATTCATTATAATAAAGATATTAAAATTTAATTCGCAGGAGATGTAGACTCTACGTCAGCCGCCGTAGAGTCTACATCTCCTGAGGATGCCTCGTGTAGAAGCGAAACACGTGTCGGATTATCGTCGATGGTGTGTCTTTCTTGGAATAGTGGTGTTCGGAGTAGTGGTGCCGGGAGTAGTGGTGTTGGGTGTAGTGGTGTTGGGAGTAGTGGTGCTGGGACTAGTGGTGACGGAATTAGTGCAATTGAGGGAAGGCGGGAGGTGCTTTTTAATCCAGGAAAAACACATCATTTTATATAATTTAGTGGATGGTTGTGAATAAAATTTTAATATCTTTGTTTCCCATAGTCGCCTTTAGCGACATCCACATGACGAAATGGTAATGGATCCTCTTATACGCCGCCAACACAAGTTACAACGAGAATGCCATTAACAAAAGTAACTGAATAAATCACACCTGTTCCTCCGTCATGCCTTCAAATGGATTGATGCGGGGCGGTCGAGTGCACCCGACTACGGGGTCAATATGTGGTTGAGCCTCCAAATACTCCTCGGTATCGGAATCCTCGCTGCTAGACGAGTACTCAACATTCCCCCGGCCTCCGGCTAATAGGCCCTTCTGAGCCAGATGTCCCGCCGCATTTCCAAAGCCCGTGTATTTCACCATACGCCCAACTGTAAAAATTATATTTTGAACGATAAATGTATTTTCTATCTATAAAATTGTACAATGACAGATACAATGTATAATGAGACGTAATTGGCTGCTACGGTTCATGGATAGCCGGTACAATCTCATACAATTTTATACAAAGAAGGCTACCGCTTCGCATACACCTAATCCGTCATCGGCCGAAGTTTGCTCGGGGCGATGACGGCCGAACTCGGACGATCGAATCAAACCGCGTACACCAACACGACCGTCATCATCCGATAACGCACGAAGACGGCCGATCAACCGTCGAGTCCGAACATAGTTCATAAAAGATAGCTTGATCTCTGCGACAGCTGTCAGTAAAATCACGCCTATGAAGTCCTGAATTTCTTAGTAGTACAGACAGTACCTGTCAATGTCATACTACCTATGCTACTACAATGTCATACTACCTATGGGCAGTAGTATGACATTGACAGATACTGTCTGTACTACTAAGAAATTCAGGACTTCATAGGCGTGATTTTACTGACAGCTGTCGCAGAGATCAAGCTATCTTTTATGAACTATAGTTGGGATTTCTCGTCCGACTGCCGGCGTCTACAGTGCAAATTGAATGTATTTACAATTTAATTTAATCATTTTGTCTTCATTCTATTGTTTCTGTCAGTTTTGTTATCTACCTAAACGACTATGGATATCGAAAATAGAAAAATAGAAAATAATACCGGCAACGTCCTATATCAGCACAAGTGGAACACTGTTGCAGTGTTAGCACATACACGTCCGAGTTACTCGTCCGAGTTCTGTCCGCCATCGGCCGACAAAATTGGATTTGGTGTACACGTACCGTACTACTATACCGGAGATATTTGCCATAGTCGCCACGCTTAGCAGACGTGTTGGAAACCGGAATTATTTTAAGTTGTAATCAGAAAGATGTCGCTGGAATTGCCGCTGCCTTTCTCTTGTAGCGGCGCTGTCGTCGCGCCACTAGCACACCGAAACACACCGAAGCCTAAATCGCGCTATTAACATTCTGAATCATAGACAGTATATATAGAACTTCTCCGAACTATCACTCGGAGTGTCGGCCGCTCCCCGGGCAGAACACCTTGCCCGGCGGGAGATCTCCCCTTTTCCTTTCACGGCCACAGTGGTAACCATCCGACGTGATCTGAACATGCAACCAACAACCTTCGGAAACTTCAAGCTTTCATCATCGTCATAAATACCCCACCCATTCGCTCCCGAGCAGATATCGTCTGCAGTCTTCATATCCTGCAAGCCATCTAGCTTCACAAGGTTCATCGCAGCACTGGAATAATAATGCTTCCTGTTCCTTCAAGCTACTCTCTGCGCTATACAGTGTTCGGCACGGCTCTGAGCCTTACCGCTCGCCTCTGCTACACGGCACTCTCGCAGATTACTTGCCTTCTTCTCGACTCACCGCAGACTACAAGGCAATCTCCTGGCACTTGCACATTCGTCGACAACGAGACTTCACTATCGACCTCCGGTCTGAGCAGGGGGTGATGTAGCGGCGCTGTCGTCGCGCCACTAGCACACCGAAACACACCGAAGCCTAAATCGCGCTATTAACATTCTGAATCATAGACAGTATATATAGAACTTCTCCGAACTATCACTCGGAGTGTCGGCCGCTCCCCGGGCAGAACACCTTGCCCGGCGGGAGATCTCCCCTTTTCCTTTCACGGCCACACTCTCGTTTCATTGCCCCCTATCGCCTCTTAGGACACCAACGGAATGAGAAACGGGTAGGAGATTCTTGACTTTGCGTTGAATTTTAGTTATTCGCGCTCATTGCTATGCCCATATGCTCATGAATCTGGTCACGTCAAAGCTTATTTTGTCCTCGTGATTTTCATTATCGAGCTAACGATGCGGTCGAGGTACCTACTATAACTACATAATAGAGCCAGATTGCAGCTATATTAGGTTTGCAGAACGAATGGATCGACTCTACTGCGGAAAGCCACGCTTTCACAGTATACATTATTCAACAGTGGTATAGGCCACGCGGCAGCTTTTGCTGTGAACCGGGCTGATACCACGACCTCACAGAATACCAGCGTGAAGTAGAACTTTACTTCTGCGTTTCGCTTGGTAAGTGCAGGTTACCGGAAGCCCAATCACCCCCTCCCCATTTTAACATGGTAGCAGAGTTAAAGAAAGCACTACACTAGTCAGGTACCAGCACCCCTGGTGACGGAGAACCCCTCTTCTTGAACGTGGGTGCCCAGACGGGCCCTGGGCGGGGGGGGGGGGGGCGAAATTTCACTCAAGAGTATAACTGCTCGGACTATAACTAAGCGGAGCAATAAGACAAAGGCGACCACTGGCACGCCATCCGTGAGTTTATGCAACATCAGGGGACTTCATTCAAACCTTAACGCCGTCCACTACCATCAGGAGCTGAAGCCGGCCTTACTCTTTCAAACTGAGACACAGGTGTCCTCTCCGGCTGATGCTCCTACTTCCTACCTGGGCTTAAATTAGAATACTGCATTGTGCCCCGGGCTGGAGTTTAAGTATACACCAGAGAGGACATCTGTTTTCGACGCCTCGGCAGTCTTGAAAGTACCTTCCATCCTATGGCTGCGCGTAGACAGCGACGACCTTCCTCTCGTATCGGATGCTTCTATAGGTCCCATAGCGATAATGCCGACACAGACCGACTCATCTTCCACGTCCAAATGCCTTCAGATTCCGGTGCTACAACAGGTCCCACCCGCAGACATCGTGATGCTCTGTGATTTTAACGCCCATCATGCTGAATGGCTTGGTTTCCGTTTAACCGATCATGCGGGTAGATCTGTTTATAACTTTGCCTTGGCATATGGTCTCACACAACTGATTACTTCACCCACGCGGATCCCAGACGTGGAGGATCATATACCTTTTGCTGACCTCTCAACCGGACGGATATCAGGTCTCTGTTTATGTACCTCTTGGCTCCTCGGACCATTATCTGATCAAGAATACGGTGCCACTCACGCTCCCATCGCGGTTGCATTCTGCAAGTTGCCGCCGTGTTTGGCACTATAGCTCAGTCGATTGGGATAGACTGCGGTCTTTTATTGCATCCTACCCTTGGGTTCGCTTCTCGCCAGATGTTCCCAACGTTGTTGTTGTTGTTGCTTCTGTTGCTGATGTGTTACTTCAAGGAATAGAGTTATTTATTCCATCATCTGTAGTGCCTATCGGAGGCAGAACTCGGCCATGGTTTGGTCACTCCTATCAAATTATTAACTGCTAGCTCATGAGGTACCTTGAGCCATACCAGCTGATTATTGACAGTCAGTACGGTTTCCGTCGGAGCCGATCAGCTAGTGATTTGTGTGTGACTAGTGATCAGCTTGAGACACACCTGTGTCTCAAGTCGAGACTGTTGAACAAAGTCTCGGACTGGGGGCGACTAAACCTAATCCAGTTCAATCCTTCTATTTAATCGCATCCAGCGCAGAAGGGTTCGAATACTCAGCGACCGTGCTCTTTCTGATCGACTTGACTAACTGGCACTGCGGAGAGATGTTGCGTCTCTTTGCGTATTTTATCGCACCTACCACGGGGAGTGCTCTGAGGAACTGTTCGAACCAATTCCGCCGCTGAATTTCATTATCACACATCCCGACAAAACTCGCGATACCATCCATACCATCTGAATGATTGACGATCCACCACTGAGCGATTTACAAAAAGTTTTCTTCCTCGCACAACTTCCTTGTGGGATCGAGTACCATCAGCGATTTTTTCGGACCGATACGATTCAGGGACCTATAGAAGAGCATAATCTTTTTTTAAAGGCCGGCAACGCATCTGCAATCCCCCTGGTATTGCAGTTGTTCGTGGGGGCGGTAGTCACTTACCATCAGGTGAGCCGCATGCTCGTTGCCTCACTCTCCTATAAAAAAAATTGTCATCCCTGAAGACTAAGACGGAATGCCTCACAGCCTGTAATTATACTGACTCTCTGCCTACCTTCAGACCGAAACAGCAATATTAGCACTGCTATTGGGCGGCAGAAGTCTGTAATATCTACCCAGACGATATCTATTTATCTATCATACGCAGAAGAAGAGTCCTACCACCATCGATATATATGTACTACGCACTAGATATGGCATTCCGAACACTCACTATGTTCAACTGAACTGTACTGCAATCCGTACACCTGTTATTGTGGCTTCGATATTCATGCAGTGAGGAGCGGCGCTAATAATAATTTTATATTAAATTAGCACATATTATGCAAAATAAACGAACATTAAAAAAATGTACTCGATGAACAATACAATCTAAATAAACAATTATTTATTATCATTGAGCTATTATGTACTGCGTTTAAGAGGCGACACTGCATTCAGCTACTCTGTTCCACTCAACTGCGGTGCATACACCGCACTTTAATCAGTCACTCGCTAGGCGCTTGTAGAGTTGTCACGTGTTGTGTTGATTTAAAAAAATCTCTTGATAAAAATATGCCATCGTCTGTACTTAGATATTTCACAAAAATTTCAAGAAACGTCAGTAAAAACCAAGGAATTACTTTTCACCGGTTAATAAGATACTTAATCAATAAAAAAAGTATTTTAGATTAATAATAAAACAGATTATTCTTGAGACGCCATCTCGTGTCGTGGAATATAGATTATGAAATTAATATGTTCAGATGCGACATTTCTGTGGGTACTTAAGTATAGGCCGAATATATTATTATACACATTTTTTTTGTAGAAACATATATAAGTTATTATAATTAGGCTAAATTTTTCATATTTAAATCTGCTTATTATTATTTTATTTTATTTTTAGGTTTCCACTTCAAAGCCAAAGTGGAATAAATTGCCCAGCATTTATGAACGACTCTTATTCCAAAAATAAATAAATATATTATTAATTCAAATGTCATGTTAATAAGTTTTGTTAAACATACATTTAGTATGTTTTTTATATTTGACATAGATACCTTTTAAAATATTCAGATAAAAATATCATTAAAATGTAATTGTGATATAATATTATGTAATATTATATTAAATAAGCAAATATAATATACAAAATAAATGACAAAATTTAAATATTGTTCTCGATATAATTTACTTATTTAACAATACAATTTGCTATTACCTACGGATCATTCTACTTATGTTTATTCTATGATAAAAAACCAATAGCGCGAACACAGTAGCGCACATTTTTTGTTTGACATAGCTGTTCTAGTACGTAAGTACATATTACTTATATTTTTATTATGACAATTTTCGCGCGTTAATATCAACTGCGCATGCGCGACTCTTACTGTTTCCCGCGCATGTGCGGATACAGAGTAGTGCACATTTTTTGTTTGGAATAGCTTATCTAGTACGTAGTACATATAACTCAATGCCTACCACCTAGTTAACTGTAATAGACAGACAAGAAAGTAAGTAAATATTGAAATAACATCCAATTCTGGGCTATATTTACAGTTTCATAGTTTCTAGCTCAACGGAAAGTTAGTTTGAAATCGATTGTAAAATTTATACTGAAGAAACGGACAGATAAGGCAACGAATTTATAAAAATTATTTAAAATAAAAGAACGAAAGAAAGAATGTGTGCCTTACCTTTCTCTTTGCATAAAATAAATAAGAACTCTGCAACTAAATCTCTGATTGATGTAACTGGAGTTGTCAGCAATCTACACAATTGATTTCGCAGCGTGGAACCCTTTTCCGGTGGTCGCGACACATCGCGCAATGGTGGCAATACTTCTTGGCGGAGATACTTGCGGTGAGCTCGGCAGCTACGGGCACTCTTGTTCAAAACCGTAAGGATTGGAGACAAATTCTCGTATTGATTTTTTGTACTCTAGAAATGATTGTTTGTTTTTAAAAATTAAGAAAGATGCAAGATGCAATTTGCTTAAGATGCAAGATACAATTTGAAAGATGCTATATATTCTAATTCTACTAACCATGGGGTTCTAGCTTTATGATTGTATATCAACTGTAGTACGCTCAGTGTATTGTGCTTGGTTTATAAAAGTAAGAATATGTGTCGATGGAAAAACAAATTTACGTTCACGTAACTACAAATAAGCTACTAATGTAAAATAAGAGAAAATCCTTTTAAAGAATTTTGAAAAGTCATATGTCTGATTTGAGACAAATGAAACTAACTGAAACTTTATGAGGAGCAGTTTGAGCTGTGAAGCAACTGATTTGAACAAATCGTTCTTGTCAGAGGCACGGTATTTAGCTAAGTGTTAAAACTCACCGTAGTAACTGTTAAACGATACAGCAAGAACTGAATCAGAGACTGCAATGCATCCATATTTTTACCATCATACATGTATTGTGATTTCTCCCCCCTCATTTAATTGCGGTGTTAAAAACGGGTAAAATTTCAATGGCACACTAAAAAAATTTCAAATACAAAATATTGGTTTTTACTAAGATGAGTATGAATTATAAATGTTATAAATATTTAAAATAAGATATACCTCAACAGTAAATTTACAATATTGCTTCGTAACTCCATCAATTTTTGCTCAGAAGATGCATGAGCACTCAACAGGGTTGTGAGTATCGGCATAAGTTTTAAATACATAGCTTCCTCAGTCTCGTCAACTTCCTCATCAGCACTTGATTGAAGGGTTAAATTGAATTGTACTTTTAATATTTCACATACAATTGCATGTTGATTATCCTAAAAAGTAAGAGTTCTAAAATAAAGAAGTAATTTGTCAAGTAATTCAGACGTAATTCCATCAATTACTTACATGAAGGTAACAGTGGTGGTCTTCTCCGGTTTCACCACTCATAGAAGCACCTGCAGTATCAGGTGTAAAAGATGCCTCCAAAACTATCTCATTTGTGCAACTTATAAGATAATCCATTCCATGCAATTCAGTTTTAATCTTTGAAGTTATGTCTTTTCTTAATGCTGTTAAAATAAAGAGTAACTTCATGTCCAACAACATTATATCATCCTTATAGGGTATTTCTTTATAAGATCTCAGCCTTGCCACCAAACCCTGCGCAATAGCAGTATGAGCGCAAAGTGCTCTTGCCACCTCACTGTTCAAAGCAAGATTGCAAAGACATTTTAATGCCTCAACGGCCTCTTCTTTCTTGGGTATTATCTCAGCTGGCAAAGACTCGTCATCAATGTTAAGAAAATTATAAAGACCCGCCTTTTCAATCAAAGTTATAATCCACTTCTCACAAATCAGAGTATCTACTTCAGATTTATCCCGGCTAAAACAAATTGGAAAAGAATAATTACAATCTCTTGTTACACATTTTTAACATAAATATTAGAATAAAAATTATTATCATCTATGTATATGGATTCAATCATGCCAAGCCGTGTGGTGGCAGCGTAAGATGGGATATGTATTTTATACGTGGTAGAGCCACGCTGCAGCTATTGTGGTTGTAGCATGAATGGGTCGGGTCGATCGGGGAAGGACCACGCTCTCACAGAATACCAGCGTAACATAGCATCTTAATTCTGCTGTGTTTCGTATGGTGAGTGTAGAAAACCGGAAATGGTAGTAGGTAGATATACTACCTAGTTAAAGACGGGCGTAAAATAACCTAACTGGTGACGGGTAGCAGCGCCAGTGGTACATAACATCTGGTATTGCAATAGTATTATACGGCCGACGTATCTTGGCAAGTTGGCGAGTCCAAACTTCGCGCAGGAGGCTGCGCAACAACAACTGTTTTTAGGAAGAAAATGGTGGCATGAGATGGACGCGACGTACGGGGGGCGGTGATCTAGGCTCGAGATTGACCTTATTTAACCCGGCGAGCATGAGCCAGGGTATCACACACCCTGATAAAATTTCAAGGTAGTGTATTTTTTTAAATCCTCGCCTGAAAACTCTTACTCGCTCAGTAGCTGGAGTGCTGGGCGCGTGGGGCAGGTTAGTGGCGTGATCGCAGTGTGGCGTGGGATACTGGCCGGTATATTCGTGCGCAAACCTGTCTCGGGTATGTTATACCCTGCCTCATTTTTGACGTATTTTTTTACGTAATGATTTAATCATGAATTATGATTGTTTTTTTAGTTTTTTTTTTATGATTTTAGTACATAAATTTGTTGTTTATTCCGTTATACTGTGTTATGTTATTCGCAACAGTAAACGATGGGCTACGACTTTATTCTATGGTGTCTTGAACATGGCGGCTATCAATGCTTGCATTATATATCGAGCAAACAAAAACGTCACAATCAAGAGAACGGAATTAATTCGTAATTTGAGCTGATCAATGATTTACGAACACCTACATTCAAGAAAATCCAAAAAGCTACATCCGCCAGCGAATCTTAAAACAGTTCGGTGAACCTTCGCCTAGACAGGTGAATATACCCGGGCGATATGTCAGATGTCAGGATTGTCCATACAAGAAGGATAGAAAAACCAAATATTCCTGCAATGCTTGTGCCAAGCCCATATGTATGGAGCACGCAAAATTTATTTGCAAAAATTGTGCTGATCTCCTCAGTGGTGATTAATCATAATTTTTAATTTAAAAAAATTAATAATAAGTTTTTTACAAGGAGGATCTCACTATGTTTTAATTTAAGTTGATTTATACTCCAAAGAATAATATTTTTGATAAATTATAATTTTTTTTAAGTCCTTAAACTTTTGTTTCTATAATTACAAAGTTCATGAAAAACATTAACAATTAAGAACTTGTTTCATTTAATTTCTATTAAATCATTCATTATTTTACATAATAAAATCATCAAAGTAAAAATAATAATAATAAGAACTTAAATATGGTACAAATTATGGATATGTCCCACCCTGCCACATTCTCGATGTAACTTTTTTTACTTCATGCTCGCCAGGTTCAACAAAATTGACCTTTTTTTATTCAATCAAATGTCGCAATCCATTAGTTTTATTAACAAGTTATTGATTTTTTTTATATATATTAAACGAAATAGATTTACAAATATAGTGAATTTTGTCGTTAATAATCAAGATTACAACTTTATTAAAAAAAAACTAATCAAATTTTATTTTCTCAGTTAAAAGACATGATTTACTGAAATGTCAGTTATCTACGTCTAATTGAGTAACAACTGTTCAAAAAAATTTAAAAACTCCTTACAAAATTGAAAATAAATATATTTTTATAACTTAATTTCAATCGATTTGAATAAAAATCGATTAAACAACACCCTCGGGCACGCGTACTGGACATCCCTTTTTGGTTATTTCGTGGTTATTCGGTTTACGAACAAGTAAAAAAAAAAAACGACGTGCATAAAAGATACGCAATAGACGAAATGTTAAAAAAACAACCACGATGTCCTTCGTTTACCCCCATATCATCCCGATTTAAACCCCATCGAGATGGCGTGGGCTACCATTAAAGGGCACGTAGCCACTAAAATCATCGACTGGAACGTAACCCGGACAATGGAGCTCATAAAGGAAAAAGTAAATTTAATAGATCAGTAAGAATGGAGAGCTATGTGCAGAAAAGTGCAAGAGGTCGAAAAGATGAATATAGGAAGAGCGATCATACTATTGACGAAATGACGGAACAGTTATTCATCATTAATACAGCTTCAGATTCAGAAAGTGAGTCAGAATGTGAGAGCAATGATTACGATGTTGAACCTATGCCAAGTACCTCTCATGGTACGCAAGGAGCAGACGACTTTATGTTAGGGATTTCCCCCCTCAGCGACAGTGATTAAATAGTAATAAGTGTAAATATACAAAAAGTATTCAATGTAAATAATAATGTGTGTTTGTGATAAAAATCTGCCACTATCGAAAGGTGAGGTATACCGAAATTGAATCTTTAATTTATATGTTACTGTTGTAGCTTTCTGTCTCCAAAGTGTTTTTTTACGTTTATTTTAGTTATAATAATTGGTCACATTATTAGGGTAATTTTATTCGTACATTGGTATATTAAAAAATTACAATAACAGTTTTATTTACGAGTGTACATGCGCTAAAGTTCGCAGAGCCTATGTTCAGACTCACCAATATACGTCGGCCGTATAGTAAATCAGTCTATTTACCAAACATAACAATTAGTAGTGGGTCGTTATGTAATTATTATCATTATATATTAGCAGGCAGGCAATTGGGGCAACTGATAATGTGTGTATCTCGTTTGTACCCACTAGTTACTCCTATTGCAGTTCAGAAAAAGATTATCTAATCTATTTTTGAATTGGTTCACATTTTGGGCTCAGACTACGTTCTGTAGCAGCTTATTTCACTCTATGACTTCACGGTTACAAATGAAGTGCTTGTGAGGGTTGTTGTTTGAAAAGCTGGTATATAGTTTAAGGTGGTGGCCCCTGAGGTGTGTTTTCATTACGAATAAACAATTTGTCAAACTCCTCAACATCGTAGTGCCCACTTAAGATCTTAAAATGTTCCATTAGATCTCCTCGGTGTATGCGGTTTTTTAACGTTGTAAGTTTTAAAAGTTTCTAATGTTCTTCATAAGACTACCGTTTCATTCAATAGCCATGGTAATATAGTGAAGCTACGCTGTACTTTTTCCAAAGCTTCAATATTCTTGATAAAGTATGGGTTCTAGACTTAAATTGCGTATGCTAATATCGGTCTGATAAGTGTTTTGTGGATCTTAAGCATCATTTCCAGTGTTAAGACAGCTTTTCTCACAAGGTAAATTAGTCCTTTAGCTTTCTTGACAATTGTTGATATATGCTCTTCCCACTTTATGTCTTCTGCAATTTTTATTCCCAAATCTGTTTGTACTTTAACAGCTGTAAGCGACGCACCGCGCCGCCCAGTTTATAGATAAGACGAGGGTTACGGTTTCCTATGTGTAATACTGCATACATTTTGAAGGATTGTGATTTATGTGCCATTTCGTGCACCAAATAGCTATTTTATTCAGGTCATCCTGAAGGTGGTCGTAGTCATTTAGTGGTTTTGCAAATATTTTAGTGTCATCTGCACAGAACTGTTCAAAGGACTGTTGAACTTCTTCGAGGAGATTTCATGGCTCGAATAATCATATTATTCCTGCCCACACGCAAATACGCGCTTAGACATAAGAGTTGCGGAAATCAGCCCGTCGTAAACTAAACTAAACTAAATGATACTGTCGCAGATTTATAACTATAATACATGCATATTAGTAAATAAACTAATAAATATAGATATACACTCTAAAATAATGTTTACAAAGAAAGTACTAACACAAAAACATATTACTAGACGACAAAATAAAATTTGCCTAAGACATCCACAAACCAACTACAGAAGGAAAAATATACTACACAAAAGAGCAGAATTATATAATAAACTGCCTAATAATATAAATGATATCCAGTCCTTTACTTTAAACAAAAAACTTTAAAACACTACATCTTAAAAGATCTTTCGCGATTTTAAACCATTCACACACGTTCTCCACGTGCGCTCCAGAGTTGGCACCGGTTTTAAAGTCTTTTCCGTTACTCCTACTCCCTAGGCGTAGTCCCAAAATCATGGAAGACGGCTTTCGTCCACTCGATCCCCAAAAAGGCAACCGCTCAGATCCGTCAAACTACAGGCAACTGATAATGTGTGTATCTCGTTTGTACCCACTAGTTACTCCTATTGCAGTTCAGAAAAAGATTATCTAATATAATATAGTCAAACTACAGGCCTATCGCCATCACCTCCTTGTTCTTCAAAATAATGAAATCCGTTATAGTTTATAACCAGCCAGCTCATGCGGTACCATGAGGATCCATATACCATATACCATGAGGAGTTTTCGTCGGGGTCGATCAGCTGGTATCTTCTAGTCTACCTGATTCATCGATCGGCGAACGCAGTAGAATCCAAGGGGGAAGCATTGGCCGTTAGTTTGGACATTGCGAAGGCCTTCGATCTGGTTTGGCACAAAGCGCTTCTTTCGAAGCTCCCTTCCTATGGGCTTCCCGAGAAATTGTGCAATAGGATCACCAGCTTTCTTGCAGATCGGTGCATCAAGGTCGTTGTAGATGGTGCAAGCTCCGATTACAAGCCTATTAATGCTGGTGCTCCACAAGTATCTTCTGCACTGTTTCTTCTGCATATCAATGATATGTTGCAAACCCATAACATTCATTGCTATGCAGATTACAACACTGGTGATGCTCTGCACACCGGCCGTGCCCATTTCTCGAAAAAACGTCTCTGAGTACCGGGACAAACTTGTGTCTGAAGTCGAGTCTTTGCCGAACAGAGTCTCGGATTGGGGGCGACTAAATCTAGTCCAGTTTAACCCACAGAAGACACAAGTTTGCGCGTTAACCAATAAAAAAAAGCCTTTGTCGTATCTCCTCAGTTTCACCGGAATCCTCGGCGTCGACATATAGAGTGACGTGCAGTTTCATGGTCACTTGGAAGAGAAGGCCGAATTGGCCTCTAAAAAGCTTGGCGTGCTCAGTAGAGCAGGACAGTATTTAAGGTTCGGTCGCACATGGAATACTGTTCCCATCTCTGGGCTGGGGCTCCCCAGTGCCAGCTCCTTTCACTTAACCGCATCCAGCGCAAAGCGCCTCGAAACGTTGACGACCGAGTGCTTTCCGATCGGCTCGATTCACTGGCACTGGAGATGCAATATCTCTTTGCATTTTCTTTTGCATATACCACGGGGAGTGCTCTGAGGAATTGTTCAGATTAATCCCAGCCGCCAAATTTCGTGAACGCACAACGCAGCAAACGTCTCGATACCATCCACACCATCTGAATTCTTGGCGATCCACCACTATACGTTTCACAAAGAATTTTCTTCCGCGTACGACCTTTCTGTAGAATAGTTTACCACCGGCGATTTCTCCGGACCAATACGACCTGGGGACCTTCAAGAAAAGCTTACTCCCTTCTAAAGGGCCGACAACACACCTGCAATTCCCTTGGTGTTTCGGTTGTTCATGGGCGGCGGTAGTCACTTAACATCAGGTAAACTGTATGCTCGTTTGCCCCATCTTCTATAAAAAAAAATTAACAATGTGAAACTGTCATAGACTTGCTTTCAATAATGATATGTAATATTACACTTACTTTTCTTGTTACCCACAACAATGTAAAAAGATTGTGCATATCCTCTACATAACAGACCATTTACAAGTACCTGCCATCCTTCATAAGTTCATGTATTTAGTATCAAATGATTAACTTGTTATTTCTCAAGATAAGTGAATTGTAATCTTTTTGAGAAATAAATATCTCAACCCGTATATGGCAAAAAACCATATTACTGTGTAGAACTTTATAACAAACAGAATGAGGTTTAAAATTGCTTAATTAGTGACACATTGCCATTTAGCAATAGTCATACAAGTATATATATAAAAACGAAAGAAATTAACTTATTTCTCGAATTTGCTTTGCTCAACTACACATTTCAGAATGGATCCCACTGCAGTTTCATTCTTATTGTTTAGGCATAATATTTGTCTTTGTATCGTAACAAGTGTGTGATGTTAAAAAAATTTGACAATCTGGTCTTTTCCAAACTAACGCAACATTGCAGAGTTGCGGTTCAAAGGTACTCTGTGCTTTGTAAATCAATATAAGAAATAGACAGTTATGTGTAACTATCTATATGTTATAAAGTAAATAGATCTTTCCATAACTGTCTATACATTATAATTCTCACAGCTAGTAACAATATGATATGGACACTGGCTGGGTGCACATGGGTCTTGTAGGGAAGATTTGCATGAAGACTCTTGACAGGTGGATTTACAATTACAGTACCAGATGTCTTGCATCTTTGACACTGCTGCATATTCGACTTAATGCATTTGATACTTTTCTCAAATACGTGAATATTTTGATGCATGTTGGCAGATTCCACATATTCTTGATATGATTCTTGGACGAGATTTCCCCACTATGTTTTCCTTTGCCACAGAACAAATGGTGATCCAGCATTTAGGTAATACATTGTCACAATAAACTCAGTTGATATTAAAAAATCACACATGTTTAACTGGTTGCAAAAGAGTACAAACCCCCCCAATCATTCCCCCACAAATCACTTCCCCAACTTTCAATAATCCAGTGTTTGTCTCCTCAGTAGGCACAATTCAATCTATGCATGCCACTATTGACACATCTACATGCTAGTTTTGGTTATAAATGAAACTGTGGCATTATGTTACAATGAATCTGTAAGTATTGTTTTTATAATTTTTCTCTGATTATTTATTAACTGGTGCTTCAGTTAAATAACTCCATTCAGCTTTTATTTGCATGGTGGTGGATGCATTTAGCTTCACTTTAAAAGTAAACCACCTTATCCTAAAATAAGTTCACTGTGTAGCAAGTGACATTTATTTTTAGAAATATTAAATTTAAATTCCTCTTAATGAACCCAGAATATGATACACAGGAAATGAAAACAATTAATGGCATTTTTCTGAAAAAATTATCAACCAATATTGTAACATTTTGTTTCTAAGATCATGAACTAAACTGCTCCCTTGTAAACTTTTAAAACATATTAACTTTAATAATCTAATACTTAAATAATAGATTGCACAACTTTTCTTGACCTACAATAAAGACTTCAAACTGTTTGAAGACATGTCAAAGAGACAGTACGACTGTATATGAAGTTACAGAAAGATTTCTGCTATTCATTCATTATTAGCTTACTATACAAATCCTACAATATTCATTCATTTATTACCATGATGTCCTATGGATTATTGTGGTGAGGATCAGCGCATATAATAAAAATACATTTATATGTACTACAGAAAAGAGCTATTTATACCATATACAATATGAGACCAAGGGACTCGCTCAGAAATCTCTTCTATTATAAGTTATGGTTAGTGATGCAACAAATACTACTTTTACAAATACGAATATCAAACCTACTATTCAGCAAATACAAATACGAATATCTCGCCATAGTAATGAAAAACTGATTTATTTGATGATTTTCTATTGTTCTAATAATTAAAATGTACAATAGGCTAATTTTTATTTAAAAAACATAAAATTTGTAGATTTTGTGGTTTTAGGCGAGTTCTTTTTTTAGTTTGGATGTTCCCAGCCGTGGAAAAAAATTTTTCCTACGTGACTGTACATAGTTTCAGTGAAAAATATTTTTGGGCGAGTTTTTTCAGCCTTGGAAAATGTACATATTTTCGCCAAATAAAAGGCAAGCTTTAAGACTTCGTACTATTGGGATTACTTGAGATAATGTCGTTGATTCTTTGCTTAGCTCTTTAATAGCTTCTTCAAAATTTGTCAGAATATCAGTAATTTGGATCATAAGAGCCCATTGCCATGTTGTGATTTCATGAAGACAATTTGGTACAGATGGTAAAACATCTTGTTCATGTTTTTGTTGTTCATGTTATCTCTTCAACATCTGATATGTTAAGTCCCATCTATAATAATAATATACCGAAACATGTTTAGTTTCAACATCTTGAAACAAAACATTTATCAGTATATTGTTAGCTTTTTGAAAATATTTCAATTGCTTGTGTGTTAAAATGAGTAACAACTCCCCTGCCCTTGTGTAGCCATTGTTGCGGCTAAGGGCCTATACACACATCGTATTTTTTCAAAGTCTGCCAGTAATTACGAGTTGCATACAAAAATATAAGTTTTTAAATATTCGTGATTAGTATTCGCCGATTATACATATTCGGTAAATGTCTACTATTCGGAGAATACGAATATTCGTATTCGTATTATCACTAGTTATGGTACATATAATGTGGACTTTACAAGATCAACCCGATGATAACATAATAAAGGTGTTTAATCAATTATTTCATTAACTCTAACTAAATACTGTAATATAAAACAAACCTTAATATTCTGAGTGCAGACAAACATGAACCGTGAAGATGTTCTGATGACTTTTCTTGAATATGCCGGAATAACACATCCCAAAGCATTAATCTATTGTTATTTTTGGATAAATCCGGAAAAATAAATACATTTTCATTCTGAAAGAGTTGATTAAAAATTATTATTTATTGTCTTTCGTAAAATAACTTAGAAAATTAAGGAAATCTTACATTTTTCAAAAAAATATCTAATATTTGAGACACTTTCGATTTATCATCGCTGGATAAAATTTTAATTTCTTCTTCATTCATTTTGAATTACGTCCCTGTTAATATATAATTATAAATTTATTTATTAAAAATAATTTAAATCACTTTATCAAAAACTATTAGTTTTGTTATATTTTTGGTGTTTGTGTTTGTTATTTTGTCAACATACAGTTCCTTCACTTTTATATTTTTATAGTAATTTTTCACTCTTTGCACAATTCACAGTAGGGTTATCTATTAAAGCTGTGGGGTCTGATGATAATTTATTTACAAAATATTTTGTAATTTGTATTGGAAAATCTCAAACATACGGACCACTTTTTTTAACTGGCTTTACGGCTCTGGGTTCTAGCCCTTCTGAGGGCCCACAGAATACAATCACTCTCTACCATAGACAAATAAATGTGTAGGTAGCTCTTCTATCTCCAGTATTATCGAGTTCCACGCGCAAATTGAGATTGAGAGTTGCGTCCGGACCGCGCTAGCAGGCGGTCACGTCCGTCGGTCGTCGGCTCCCACCCGGGTGGGAGAAGTACAGTGCGTCGCTTCGCAGTGGGTGCACGTGCTGTGGGGCCAACTCGGCTTGCGTCGAGCTGACGTCCCTGACCCCACCCGGGACGTTACATACCCAACGCTGCGTTTAACCTACCATGCTGGGAAGCGAACTCCGAAGGCCCGGTGTGCTGCTAGAAGAGCGCGCGCCTATTGGTGACTTCGACTTCGCGTCGAGATGCGTATCCGCGGGACCTAGAGGTTGTTGACCCTTCGGCAGATCCCTTCCCAGAGGCGCGAGATACGCCAACTTTTGCCTAGGAATTCACCAAGCCTTAACCTAGAGCCAGGGAGGAGCACTGGAGGCCCGGAGTGCTGCTATCAGGAGCGCACACCTGTCGGCAGGATTGGCCCTGCGTCGACTCTCTGTCCGCGGGACTCCGCAGGGCTTTTAGACTGCTGATCCTCCGGAAGCACCTACCTGGCGGCGCGCAATACGCCAAAGAAGATTGCCTACAATATCGTACTATGTACGGCTCCCAAGACCGGTCCATAGAAACAGGACTGTGAGGAAAACCCGGGTAATGAGGAATACCCCGAGGCCCGAAACCTGCAGGGATAAATAACAGTAGTCCCTCGCAGATGACAACACTGACTGACTATGCGCAGAGTACTTTGTTGGGTACTAATAGTTCTACGTAGTTAATAGTACACGCAAAGCTATTCGTAGAGGGCAGCAGCGGCTCCACGGCCGCTGTCAAATCATCGATTTCATTTAGCTTGCTACATATTTATTTATCTATGATTTCATTTTTCATCTTTGAATTTGACTTTTGATGTCAAATAATATAATTATTTTATACTCTTTGCGTGTTGGATTTTTAACGAAGAAATAAGTTATTTTAATATATTTCATATATAGAAACGATTTACAGCCTGAAAATGGCTAATATAACTTTATCAGGTCATGTGGCCAATAAAATTTTAAGTAAGTAATGCAGTTTCGTAATAAATTAAAATAAATCGAGTCTTACATAATTGGTAAATTTTTAATGTTATCAGTTTGTCAATTAATAATTTAAATTTTGTAGTCAAACATGGTGCCATGAGTATTATTTACATTAAATCTGCACCGTACAGTTCCGATAACAAATTTAATCTTGCTGCATACAAGCGAGGTACTGGTGGTCGCAGCAGCTTTAATGGAATAGTTGCAACAGTATTTGGTTGCACAGGATTCGTTGGTAGATATGTGTGTAACAAACTCGGAAAGATTGGTACTCAAGTAAGTTAAAACATGCTTTGTTTTGAAATCTATGCATTTTACAAATACTATGATAGATAACATTTCGATTATATATTTTTTCTAATCCAAGTTAACTGTTAAAGTATGTATGTTAACTAACTTTATATAATAAATCATACTTGAAATATCAAAAACTTTAAACTAGATAAAAAGTGCACTAAAACATTGAACTAAGAAAGACAGTAAGATTTAATAACAGATATCAAATTGGATTGTTATAAGCAATTCAAATTGTTTCACATTATTATTGTTATAATAGTTTTTTAAATTCTATATATAAAATTATGCAATTTTCAATGTAGGTAGATCAGGATCAGGAAAATCAGCATAGGTTCTCATTCAATGGTATTTTTTATAATAAAAAAATATTAATAGTATAATAATGTAATAGTAATGTTAATTAATAGTAATCTTATTAATTATCATTACTAATATTCCTTTTAACCACTCCTGGTAAGCTTGAAAATGCTTGTGTTAGGAGTGGTTCACGACAGTAGTCAAAATGGCGGATTCGAATCCACAACCTTTTGAGTTTGCAATCCGTGCCCTGCCATTAGGCTATTGTTGCTTATTAAAACCATTCCTGAAGTTTCATTCATTACAGTCTATCCAAAGTTTACTGCTGAATATAGGCCTCCCCTATAGATTGCCTTATATGCCATGTTAGATTTGCATATTAGAATTTGCCATAGTTATTATGCATGGTTTTTTGTAATTTTTAATTGTTATCAGAAAGATCATACCATACACACAAAACCAAAAGTTTTACTTTGTCATTCATAATACATACAGCATAGGAGTGGAATAATTTGCCAGCATCTGTATTTCCATCATCATCATCATTCTCTAAACCATTTCCCATTATCTGGGGTCGGCGCAGTAAATCTTCTTGTTCCATTCCTCTCTATCAGCCGTCATTTCCATACTTACTCCTTTCATTCTCATATCACTCTTCACACAATCGATCCATCTTTTATTCGGCCTTCCTCTGCCCGTGTGTCCCTCCACATCTGTATTTCCATCCAGTGATAATGTGGATGTCTTCAAAGTAACAGTGAATAGACTCTGTTAAGTCAATGAACTTTAGTATCTTCATCTCCATCACCACTTACCCATCAGGTGGTATAGTATGCAAACACTGGTTTATAATATAAAAAAAGAAGATGCTGCTGCCCATGTGTGTCCATTATTACCTTTGTCTGTCTTACAACATTATCCCTTTGGGGTATTTTTATGCGCACACAATACTTTAAAATTGGTTAATTTTTAGTTGTCCTGTTATCCATTCTTGTTTAAATGGTACTGTTTAATCTTAAATAACCTCACAATTTTCTTCAGTAAGATTGATTTGCAATTTCAAAGTGAGGATTAATGTATTATGTCTTATTTGTTTTGATTAAAAAAATATATTTTCAGATGATTCTTCCATACAGAAGTGATTTCTATGATGCCAACAGGTTAAAAGTAGCTGGTGACCTTGGACAAGTTCTTTTTACACCTTTTGATTTAAGAGATGAAGCATCTATTGCTAAAGCTGTTCAATACTCAAATGTTGTCATCAATCTTATTGGACGAGATTATGAAACCAAAAATTTTAAATACATGGATGTCCACGTTGAAGGGCCTAGGCGTATTGCAAGGTACTACTTAACATTATTTAAAAATCTGAAGAATAAGACTGGCAAAAGCTAAACAAGTTTTCTATTATAACTACTCATCCCTTCAAGTGGCGACTAGTGTGTTTAGTTAGAAGAACTTTATAATGATTTCTTATATTTACGCGAACACTACACATGATTAAAACTACTTTTACGGATTTTATCGCGTTTATTTTTGCTGTTAATTACTTTTATTTTTAATTCCCGACGTTTCGGGCGCTTTCCAGCGCCAGTCCCCTGTGACCATGAGTGCTGGAAAGCACCCGAAATGTCGGGAATTAAAAATAAAAGTAATTAAAAGCAAAAATAAACGCGATAAAATCCGTAAAAATAGTTGTTTAATCATGTAGAAGAACTTTAGTTAGATATCAATATATAGGTCAAGCTAAATACTAAACATTTGAAGTTGTACTTACCTAGTTAGTCTATTTGTCCCATGTATACATACTCATCGACTACGTCGAGTGTAGTGCTCCCAACAACTACTGATGTGGAAGCTATAGCCCATGATTTTATTTTTATCCATGTTTATCTTAAGACTTATCTGTTGGGAGGTACTATTGGGGTCATTAAGCATAGTGCTTAAGTTCTTCTGCAATACTGCCATAAGGACTATATCATTAGCAAATCAAAATTGACCTTTCTAATCCAGTATCTTAAAAACATCTTCTAATACAGCAGTGAAAAGTTTCACACCAGTGGAGTGGTGGTCAAAACTGCAAAAGTTGTTGGCATAACTAAAGATTTGCGTAGAGCACAGATATGCGAAGTCATCAGTAAATGCGCCACTCTTTTTGGAATGGCTACTCCCCTCTGGTCCGCTGGTGGCCCATGTTGTTCTATGAACAAAACTGTGCGTTGTGCAATCAACTTTTGACAATATTTTAAAATATTAAATATAGTGCATGTTCCCAACATCAATTTCTTTTACCATTACCATGATGCAAAATGTATTATATGTTACATTGCTACGAATAGCTATAAGGTAAGGAATTATATAAACAGGTCAAAAAAGAGAAACACTTCAGTTTCAAAGAAGAAAGCCAATATTAGCTTTATCCATTAGTTTGCGTAAATGATTAAATCTGCTGGTGCTGGCGCTAGTGATCACATGAGAAGCTCATGTGATCCCATTTAAATTTGATCAAAATCTAACCAGTAGTTTTTGAGCTATCCTTAATAATGCGTATTTAATTGACTTTAACTACATTGATGATGTTCTCATTTTATTTATATTGAAGTCGGTTGTACAAAATTTTTATTTTACCATTTGTTGTTACTATATTTTAGGATTTGTCGAGAAATGGGTGTGGAAAGACTTATCCATCTGTCTTATTTGAATGCTGAAAAGAACCCGAAACCTTTGGTAATGAAGAAACCTTCAATGTACAAGATTAGCAAGTACCTAGGGGAATGCGCTGTAAGAGAGGAATTCCCGACTGCCACTATACTTCGCGCTTCTGATATTTATGGCTCCGAGGATCGTTTCTTGAGGTTCGTTTTTTGAAGTTATTAAACTTTAAATTTATCATTCAACTCATCACCATCAATGCCAATCAATGTCTACTGCTAAACATGGCGCTCCA